AGCGAGGAAGGGACGATTCTCTACCTAACCTCAACAAGCTGCATTGAGCCGTAGTGGCTGAATCAAATGGAAAAGAAAATGGAAAATGAAATGGAAACCCTAGGTCCCTTTAAAGGGGTTATATGGGGTATATATTACCCCAATAATGGAGAATCAGATGGAAAATGAAATGGTAACAGCTATATATAGGGCTATGTAGGGTTGCCCAGCTGCATTCGGTTTGTCAGTACCCAGAAGTAGACTGCCTCTGCAGGAGAGTCATGTGTCTAAGCTAGCAGGATAGCTCTGCCGGTCGCAAGCTGGTAGAAGGCAAGCATGTTGATATGGAAACTACTACAGTATATTGGGGTCATATAGGGATAATGGAAAAGAAAATGGACATTACTATGGTATATGATGATTCCAGTAGCAAAGCAATGGTGGCCTGAAGCCCATGTGCCGGTTGGCAACATCTACCTCTTGCACAGCGCGAGCGCAGTAGGCCTTCCGACAACAACTGGGCTGCTGTTAAGGAACTTAAATGAGGTTACCATAATGGGTATATAGTTCAGGGTTTAGGGAGATCATCCCCCTACAATGGAGGATCAAATGGAAAAGAATGAAGATAAAATCGAAACTGAGGGAATATAGGGTTTAAGGAACTTATATTAGGTTTCCATAATGGGTATTCTTAGTAAATAATAGAGTTTCCCCATTATAGTAACTTAGAATAAGTTTCTTAACAGCAACCCAGAAAAGGCAGCTGGAGTTGTAAAAGCTACTTTCTGCTTCAGCAGTGAGCCCAAGCCTTCAGCAAGGTATATCATCACCTCCAGGAGGAGATATTTCAGGATGAACCTGGACTCGCACGGAAAGAAAGTTGCAGCAGGGTGAAGGGCTCGTCTGACAAGGAGCCCTGCGATGTAGTCTTTCCATCGGCCAGTGTTCCGAAGGATGTCCAAGCAAAGAGCAGCTTCTGCAATTTGCAGAAGCATAACCACCGGCGTCAATGCCGGAAGCAGTATCCTCCTTGCCGCCAGATATGCTCCCAAAGCAACGAACAGCACACACCTATAATGGTTTTGGCAAAACTGCGCCAAGCATCAACTGGTCCCAGCTCGACTGCAAAGTAGATTTGCAGCTCCTCCTTTGAGCACACAACAAGGCTAAACTGCGAGGCACTGTGAAGCGCAGCCCGTCCTGATACAGCTGGTGAAACTACACCCGAGGGTGGCTAACATGCAAAAGACCATAGAGAAAACGACTGGAGGAAGTAATGTCAGCGCCGCCACCTGTCAAACATGCGGGATCTGTTCATGGGCTACTTGAACATCTTCGGAATTGCGCGTGCCAAGCCTCTTCCATGAAGGCGTGCTTGGAAAAAATCACTTGCAGCATGCTAACCTCCAGGCTTGCTGCGTTGAAAATCACGACAAAGTGGTGCCATGGAGCAGAGGGGATGTTCCAACACTGGCAGCCTTGTGATTGACCACTGCAAACCAGACAGATACGCCCAAGAACACCTCAGTCCACTTGAGTCAAGCACCACACCGTACTTGCCACCAGTTTCTCTATGCACGATGTATGCTGCAGAGATGCGAACAAGAAATTGAAGTCCAGCATGGATATACTCAATCCAGTACGTGGCTTCAGCTGACATTCCTGAAGTTCGCCCAGCAGAAAAGACTGAAATAGACTGAATCTTGGACGGAGTGGGAGGAAAGCGGCCTCATACCAGCGGATCCACCCACGGCCGCAATTCTTGAAGAAAAAAGCACACAGGCTTCTCCTGCCGTCAGGTTTTGGGAAAAGTTAGTTGGCGCCCAATACGAGCTGCGGTGTCCTGTCTTCCTCTATCTGGCGACGGGCGAACTGGTGCGGATTGAAGATGAAAGGTGCATAGAGCCAAGAGATAATTGTCAGTCCAATACCTCACCCAAGCAGTTCTTGACACGAACCAGCTGCCGTTTCAGGAGGGTGCATTGCGTAGTGTGACATGCTGAGCACAGCGCAGACCCACACCGGCGAAAGTCGATGTCCTGAGCACTTACACTTGCGCGCCCGCCTGTTTGATTTTGCTCATAATGATTAACAGCTTCATATCAATGTAGCTTCATCGCAATAACAAGAAGACTAGTCTTACTAATAATGATATTTGTAATATCTAAAAACAATGATACATACATTTTACAGTAATAGTAATCCGCCGACCCTGGCCTGACGGGGGGTGCACACAGTAAAGCCCCTCCTGTCCCGTGTTCCTCTACATCCCTTTCTCGCTTCCAAACCCCCACAATTCTCAGGTCGGGGTTGCCCCTATAGGCCACCCTTCTCATGTTCCAGCCCCTCTGGCTCAGCGCTGAAGCCCCCACCTCCCTAGCGACCTCCTCCAGACCCACCCACCCCCAAACCTCTCAGAAAGTGCCGTACCCCCCCCCCAAACCCCTTCAAGTCTCAGAGAAAAGTTTTTTCTGGGTGGGAACCGTGCTGGCGTCGGCCCCCCAAAAGAGTGTCTTTTCAGGGCCTTTTTTTCTTGCTGGCAGAAGTCACGCAGCCATCACACAGCTTGCAAAGGTGGCAGTTTGGGCTTCTGGGAATGCAGGCCCTTCTCACGCAGCTTGGCAAGCATGATTGATTCTAACGCCTCAACCTGTTGCCAGCTGCCTGTGGCAAGCACCAACCTTTTGAGTTCAAAGGGGCACTGCCGCAAGGTATGCCAAAGCATCCAACGACGGTGGCAATCCAGTTTTTGCGGCAAGTACCGGCCACCTGAGCTATGCAGTGCCAACGGCCGAAGCAAGCACTACAGTAGATGTAAGGTCCCACCATTGTGAGCTGGCGCTTGCTTGATGTAGGCAGCAAAAGCTTGTATCGCTGGGCAATTTGCACTTCAAGGGCCTTACGGCTAAGATCTTCCATGGCAACTTGGTCCCTCTCAAGGCAGTACCGCTTGCCAACACCGTGTGACGGCAGGCAGCAGGTCAGCTGGAGAGCAGCAAGGCGGAGCAGCACAGGATCAAAGCGCAGCAAAGAACAGCGCAGCAGAGCACAACACAGCGCGGCACAGCACAGCGCAGCACGGCAGCGCCCGCAAACGACCAAACTCTGAAACGGCGGCGCTGCGCCTCGTTGGCCCGGGCCACCCCTCTATAGCGGCGGCTTCTGCGGGAGGTCCGCGCGCAGGCGGCTCGTTGGCCCCAGCACCCGCGACACAACCCTGTGCAACACTGACGCGCCGGCGAGGGCTGCACGCCTCACACCGGGCCAGTCTTCAGTGTTCCCCTGTCCCCTCGCCCCCTCCCCCTCCTTACACCTTCCAGCCTCAGCCACTTAATAGTTTTGTGGGACCGGTTTGATGACCACCCCGCATCCCCCCCTAACCTCCATCTCGCGCTGCTGCTGATAGGTTTGGCTGTTTGTTGTGCCCCCCACCCCCTGCCCCCATCCCCCCTACTCCCGCCCACAAACGGGCCTTTCAACGAGTCCCCCCTCCCCACATCCCCCCTACCCTCCTGTCCCCATGCGAGCCCCGCCCGCCTCCGCCCTCCATCCCGGATCTGGAGCTTGTGCCGCATGTCATGGTTCTGGCTTTAGTCATGGAGAGGAGGTCAATGTTGGTGACCCTGCATCTTGGACCTCCAAGGTGGCCTTGTCGACCCGACCCCAAATCAAATTTACATGCGCTCCGGAAGCAAATCCCTGGGGCACGGAAGGATTTTTGGGGTCCTCCGGGACCCCCAAAAAAAGCATCATGAGCACGGACGTTTTTGAAACTAGCCCCCGAGGCCTATCTAGGCCCAGGCACCATCTTTGGGGGATCGAGGGGTGTGCCGGAAGGCCTCAAATTGGAGAAACGAACCCCCAATGATGCTGATGATGCTGGCCCTCTTGGCCAGCATCATTAGCATCATTGGGGGTGCGTTTCTCCAATTTGAGGGGGGGTGACTGCATTAGTTCGAGGTGCTGGAGGGTGGGGGGGAAATCTAGGGGTCCCTCGCCTCGAGACTGCCTGCGTTGCCCGTCTCTGGGCTTTACCCCGTTAATAATAATGATAGTAAAAAAAAAAAGCAGTAAGAATAATTAACGGCAACAATACTAGTACGAGTATTAATAATAAGAAGAATAATAATAATATTCATAATGCAGTTTCATCATTGTTTCTGACCGGGGCTCGGTAGACATTAACTGAACTCATTCCTCCCAGGCCAACAACCATTACAGAGGCGATCAGGAGAATGAGCCCATCGTAGAATGCTTGCATCGCGTAGTCTAAGTAGAGACCTGGGTTGAGGGTTTGGGGGCATTCCAGACTTTAGCATGCAGTTGCTCAGCAACAGAAATTCGGTCTGTAGCTCTAACACTCTGAGCTTGACTCCGTCGAACTCATCTGACTCCGGCTTGGCCCGGATGAAATGCCGACGCTCTGTTGGCAAACTTCTCCCAGTGCTAATGTATTTGGCGCCGCCTTAGAGTCTTGCAAGCTTCCTCTACGTTCCGTGTCTCTCTCTGTCTTGCCCCTCGGTCCGCGCTGATATTTTTCCGTGCAAAACGTTGGACTGCTTGCAAACTACATTATTTAGAGAAGCTGCCGTAGCGCAGCTCGTTGATGACCTTCGCATGCAAGGCGTGACAGAAATACTGAAACCAGATGACACGATTCACACCATCTCAGTCCAGCAGCATAGAAGCCAATGATTTTGGCCTGGAACACGAACCTGGGAGCGTTCCATGAGTGCGGTGCTGCAACGGTAGAGCAATCCCCACTAGTGACGAGCGGCATCAAGAAGGATAGGGTGAAAACTTGCTTCAACAGCCGCTGCACAGCAATCTTGAAGCTCCTGTCGGAGAGGTAGAGTTGGAGGTATGTATAGTTCAAGAAATTCTGAGGTTCCCTGACCATCAGGCATTGAGATCGTATAAGGCTGGGATCATCACGCATACATGTATAGCCTGCCTGCAAACTGATTCCAACAATGTGTTAAGCAAAACGCACTAAATCCCTGCAACGGCATCTCCTTCGCAGTTGCGTCCCAAAACATTACGAGACGAGTGACTGCGACCAGGCAACAGTTTGGACAACGACACACATCAAACCATCCCATCCGGATTGCGGGCAAAGGATCTGACTATAATATACTATAGTGGTTTCCATTTTCTTTTCCATTATCCCCATATAAACCCCAAAATACTATAGTAGTTTCCATTTTGTTTTCCAAAATGCTGGGTCGATCTGGGTCAACCGGTCATCTCTAAACAGCAGCGTGCTCGTCCTTTGCATCCACTGTTCCATGAAGAGCGGCAGGGCCGTTGCCAGAAGCACCAGCAGCAGCAATGCCAAGGTGTAGATGCTTGCCAACATCCTATTAGAAAGGGCAGCAGATGTAGATGTAAAGACTCATGCACTCCTCTGCTGTGTTGCAAATGTCCTCCCCATAAGTTCCGACGCAGGTCGCCTAGCGCAGCTGGACTCGAAGGCCTCGAAATGCCCATCGCAATCCGAAGCCAGGACCAAGGCCCAGGTGAACATCACCTGAACAACATCAACAACTCCATGCTTTGTACTTTTTATGCAGCAGGTGTCTCTCACTCTACGCTGCTGCCAAGGGGCGGTGGGCATCACCCACGAAAGCAGAAACTGGGTCATGTAGTAGCCGGCATGCGCATAGTACCTAGCTGAGGGGTACCAGGTCTATCTACGAAAAGCTGCCTCAACAGGAAAGGAAAGATCAAAGATGACAGGGCATGCAAAGCTAGCTGTTTGATCCAGTTGCAAAGTCAAAGCCTCAGGAAGAGGCCTTGGTTTGCTCATCTTGGAGCTTGGGCAAGGCTTTGGTCAACGGTTCGTTCAAGCTTTCCCGGTTCTTTTTTGTATTTGATGAGGCATGATCCTACTACGTTCAACTGCGGTCGAAGAGCAAAAGTTGGCCCAGGCGAAACATTTGACGAGTGAGGAGCTGCTCACCAGAACCAGAGGACAGCTTGGAGAAGAACTTCAAAACCTCGGCCAGAGAATGCAGATCTCGTGTTGCCCGCCTCGGCCATCAAGTCTTGTCAGCAGAGTTTACTACTGTGAGTGCTGTACACTGTACACCCACCCCGAATTAAGCCACATACTTTACTCACGTCAATGTGCCTTTCTTACCGAACTTTCAACTGCGTGGCCCATGTCGAACACCATTTAGTTATGATGAGCTGACGTTGCCAGCTCCAAGCCTTGACACATGTCCAAGCAGCAGAGTTGAAGCCCAAATCTCTGCCCTTGGCCAAATGGAAATACTCCTGCGAAGTAGCAGCCAGCTCACGGGAACTGTGCTCTGGCCTTCGAACAGTGACCCTTGAGACTTGCGCTCCTTGTGGCAGATCTCCCGTCCATCCCCACGGAGGACGAAATCCAAACCTGCGAAGATGTCTTCGGACAGGTTCAGTGTCCTGCGGCTTTTGCCCAAAAGCTCCAGAAATGGCAAGACTTGCTCTGCCTGAAGGCATTCAAATCATATCTGGTCCTTGTGCCCTTGGAGACCCCTCCCTGCTGCATCATGAACCTCACTTCAATGAGCACAGGTCAAAGTGCTACCCCACTGGGCACCGCCACACCACCCTGGAACCACTTATGATCATTTATGCAAGAAGCTGCTTGTTCATCAGGTCAGGGTGGCCGTAATGCATCCGCGCCCCAAGCAGCGCGTAGCTACGCTGCAGGATGGTGCAGAAGGCCATCTCCGAGCCAGCAGCAAAGTCACCGACGGAGCCCATGTCACCTCAAGGAAGGCTGAGAACTACGAGCAGCTGCGAGATTGATATGCTGACACGCTCTGCTCTTCCCATCAAGCCAGGCTGCTGGTGATGTGCTCAGGAAAGCCCACGATCCTCACAAGACCGGGTGCAGGCAGGAGGCAACAAGCAAGCTGTAACGTCTTCAGCCAAGCGTCTGCCTAGCATTCCAGCGGAACTCTGCCAACGCACAGGGCATCATCATCATCTGCTCGAAATAAGCACCTGCACTTGTCAGCATGCTTTCGGGGAGCACTCACGACTCTGCCGCTGAGCCCAACCGCGCCTTGGTTTGAGTCGACGCACTGCGTGATGGTGCCCCGGCTGAACGGCAGGGCATGGTTCTGATTATCTGCCTTTCCATCGCTGAGGATGGGATATCCTGGAAGCTCAATGCGGTACAACGGCTGCCGGAAGGCGGAGTCCATATTCTTGACCTGCAATCTAAAGCCCTGCTCAAGCTGAGTCTGTTTCCTAGGTCCAGGTCTCGGACTTTCTTGCAACTCCTGTCCATGAGGCAGCTGAAGTATCTACGTCGCTGGCGCGGGTGAATTCCCTCGGGTGGCACTTATCTGAAATTTGCAAGACTCGCCCTGCACAAAAAGGCATGCAAGCAGCATGACGCTGAGCCGGAGCTCAATAAGGGAACAATGCCAGGGCGCATCTCGATCTCCCGTATCCGTCACATGGCTGTGGTCAATGTAGGCGATGTTCAGATTTGAGGGAAATCGCTCGAGCATGTCGTTCACTTGTTCGCGCTGAGCAGCTGTGAAGTATGCATACCTGAGTAAGCATTGGCAGACTCTGCTCTCCAAGCAAATGACTTCGAGCAGAACCACTTGGGCATGGACAGCTGCATCGACACTAAGCAGCGGAACCTCCAAAGCGTGCAAAACCATGTTTCCGCAGGAGCTTGCAGCGGTCTCCACTGCAGCCATGCAGCACATCTCTCGTGTCCTCCTGAGCTTAAAGACCAAGACTTCTTTACCATTGCATGAAAGGAAGACAAGGGCTCTGCAGAATATCTGTATGACATGATGACATGGTGGCTAGTACCGTCAAGTATCCCTGCTGAATTTGAGCCCGCTGGTTGAGACACCCTGGAGCTCATGGTGCAGAAGCAGCGCGTCATGATACCTCAGCGCAAGAGCTTGCGCAACTCGCGACTGTCCCGATCTGTAACCAAGAGAAGCTGTAGCCACATCATGCCTTTGTCAAGCAACGAGTGCAGGCCGAGCAACTTGCAAATGCCAGCGACAGTTCGCCAAAGTGTTTGAAGTCGCATAGATGCCCACACACAGGTCTCCTGCAAACCGTCATCGAGAATGATAAGATGCAGGCAAGGTCAAGAGTCATCGGGCCACTCAGACACACGAAAGAAAGTTATGTGCGCTGCGTCCAGTGCAGTCGTACTTCAAGTGCCCGTGCAAAGCATCTGCGAGTGCTGCGTTCTCCTTCCATTGCTCTGGGCTGTAGCGCGACCAATTCTGTACACCACCTGGGATGGACCAATTCTGCGCCAAGTTCTTGAACTCATCCACCTTGATGTTGCATGATGTTGTATAGAGACGTGCAAAGAATCAACCGCACCACTCAGCTGCTACAAGGCCACATACTTGATTCGGAGGTAATCGATAAGATGGCCCAGTTGGCGCGCCTCTCCTGCAGCCTTTCAGAACGCCCATTTCTGTCAATAGGTTGCTTTCACTGGAAGCCACATGCACAGAAAAATCTGGGGGGAGAAGAAATTCAGTCCTCACTGTGCAATTCTTCCTGAGTCATCAGGATCGGCTCCTGTGGCAAGAAAGTCTGACTTGCCATAAGTACCACTGATACATACTGTACGATGATCGATATGAAGGATCATGCGTGCAGTTCTCATCGTTCTATCAGCCGCGGCGGACCTCGAAGTGCGGGATCAAAGCCGTCAAGCCCGGTAAATAAGGAGACCGGTATGGTCTCGGAACCTGCAGACCGACACCTGACGTGCGACAGCTACACTGCCGGTCAAAGCCAGAGGCCCTGCTCTTCAAAAGGACCTGCTCAACTGATTTCTGCAGGCCTCTTGCAAGTGCCAGGAATCGCCACTGCAGCTCTTTGTTCCCGGGCCACTCCTTGGCTTAATGTCCCTCTCCCGACACATATGGGTGGTTGTCAAAATTATGGTCCCTTTTTGGATCCCTATTATAATACGGCACCTAGTATTTAGGGTACCCAAAAAGAGGCCATAATTTTGACAACCACCCATATATACTTCCCACCAGGCCCAACAAGCAGAGACGAGTGGCGCGAGTGTCAGATATCCCACAGTAATGCTTGCTTGCCTCAGACCAGAATCCACAGGCAAGAATCCATGTATGGCCTGAGCGCCTAGACAATTGCCTGATCTGCCAGGATGCTCTCTCTAAACAATTCTCTTTGTTGAAGAGGACCGGAGGGTCCGGCTCTTCAGATGTAATGTAATCGAAGCACAGCTCGCCGCTGTCACGCATACTTATTTTGTGTTCCCTTGTCCTCGGCTCTGGACCCTACTGCCAGGAAAGTGCCTGCCGGGAGCTACCTCCAGAAAGCCCCCAAAAACAAGCCAGGTGTCATATGCTTAACAACTAGGTTCCACGTCTTGGCAAATGAGCGCTTGCCATCCCGCGCATATCTCCTGGGCACCGTCTGGCCGGAGGCTTTCACTTTACATATCAAAGTACTGTTTGAAAACAAACTTCTAAAGAGGGCCTGCTGAGAAGGCATTGGGTGCACACTACATAACAAAGCAACGAGTCCTGACTCTAAATCTAAGGAAGTGGTCACCTTCAGGCTCACACAGCAGGTGCTTGCAGGAACATGATCTCCACTTGCCATCAGGCTGCAGCACTTTCCGCGCAAAGCGCTCTGGAAGCTTATGCATCGAGTCCTCTAGGGCAAACTCGAGCACATAGCACTTCCGCCTTTTCATGCGGTGTTCGTCCGGCACCCGCTGGTGTGTCAACCCCCATCAATGCGTCCAAGCCACTGTACAAAAGTAATCGCGATTCCCATGAAGGTACAACCAACGGTAAACCAGAGCTGTGTGTCAGCACAAAAGATAAAAAGGCTGGAAAACCATAGCCACAACCTCAGATGCAATTTGCTGCCCCATCATGCTCGCACATAGACGGAGTACAGCTTCCGTCCTCAAGACAGAAATAGAAACTCTCAGTCGAGAACCAGATAAGCACATCACGTGCCCAAACGCTGCTGTACCAAGCGATCCTTAGGCAGTAGAATCCAGCAAGTGTCGATCTGAAGATCGAAAATGCTGTTGATTGAAATCATACGCGTCCTTGCATACCTGCAAAACATCTAGGGATTCAACAGATCTGGCGTCCGGATATCCGTGGATGTGGCACGGCCCAAGGGCTCCAGTTGCAGATCTAAAATCAATGCAAAGACGGAGATGAAGAGAATGACCTTACAAATGGCTAGGGCAAAAAAACAGTTGCTCTGACGTCACATGAGAGCAAAGCTGGATGCAGTGCAATATGAGGAGCTGCCACGAGGAACTTGGTGCCAAAGACTACGAACCAAAAAAGATACCTGCCCGGACTGTCAAGCACAAAGGTCAAGGACCTGCCCTGCCACAGAATCAAGTTACCCTTGCCTTGCTGCCCGCAGCCGCAGCGGTGCTCGCGGTCGCTCCTGGAGAATGGAATTTGGACTTCTTCCACCCGAGCCCTGCTTCACCATCAAATCTGAAGTCCTTGTAGGGCATGTCGAAATTCCGATGCGAAAAAAACAATAAGGAAATCACCACCCACAGAGAAGCCACTGCGTGCCCGATGAGGCAGCCTTCCAAGATTTGGTATTTGCTGTCCTTCCATACCTTGCAGCGTGCAGCAGCTGAGCGTTGGCAGGGCAGAAAACAAATCTCAACAGACTCAGCCAAGCGTCCACATCTGCATAGCGAACAGCGGCGTAGGTAATCACCGGCAGCAACCAAAGAATGGTGCGCCAGGCATTCGCACAGAGGCAGCCTCTCGTGCACTTCTTCCAACCCGTGGTTTGAAAGACATGGCACGCAAGCTGTCACGATGGCAAAGCCTGTGGCGGCTGACCCTCAAAAAATGAGACTTGCACAGCAATCGTGCCTAAGCCAAAGATGGCTCTCCTGGTGGCACTTCCAGAGGTATAGAGCCTCGACCTGATTCTAAGCAAGTTACAGGGCACGTAACTCGGTGGTTTTGAGTCCAAGAGGCACAGTCACCAGGATTGCGTGGCAGGGGGCCACGAGGCCCAAAGCAGCGAAGCGCACGGGCACCGTGCGCCCGGCCACGGTCTCTTCCTCTTCGTCCTTGGGTTCCTGGGACATCTGAGATGACATGTTCGATGCGCAGCTTATGATGATTTCTGGGGACCCTGCCCCGGCAACTATGCAAATGGCGGTGAAGAAAAGCAAGCTGTGGAGCAGCCAGATCCTGCACGAAAATACGTACGTTCTGCTGCGCAATGGAATCATGACTGGCTTCCTTACACGGCTTTGGCAGGAGCTTGCCCGAGGCTATTACCAGTTTTGAGGCAATGTCACTTTGTCACTGGGGCTTTTTCTGTCGTCCGACGCAACTCGCGAACGTTATGTTCCTCAACAGGCCTCGCTTGGCTGAGATTTTGCCACTAGGCACATCAATTTGGGGATTGGTTGCATGGGTTGAGTAATATCTGACGGCTTGTCAGTGATGGGCAGGCTTGAGGAAATGCCCCAGCTCCGAATTCTCACTGCCCTTCCCAGCGATAGAGTTGACAGATTAGGCACGTTACGGAGCTCCAAGTCACGGTTTGGTGGCCTTCAGGCTAAGACGCTTTGTGGGTTTTAGGCGCCTTCAGGTTTAGGGGGATTGGGGTGGAAAGGCTCTCTAGTAGGGCTCTGGGCTTGACTTTTTGAACTCAGGGGTCTGTGGTTTAAGGATTGCCGGGGCCTTTTCGGCCTCATGCTTTAAATTTTTGGGTTGTGGCTTCAGGTTCTGAAGAAAGGGGGTTCACTTGTGACTTCTCCCGGGGTTCACT